TGGGCCCATATGTAATTTGTAATGCAAGCACACACACCACTGGCTCATTGCCTGGTTTCCACCCTATTTTCCAGAGGTTATTATCAGCAGAACTGCTGTTCAGTCTGCTGTTTCTCAACCTCTTCCAGCACATGGGGTTTATATATCTGAGTAACAGCCATTAAGAAGTGGGTGTACTTAGTGACAGGTTAGCTGGCACTATTGTAAAAGCAGGAACTTCTTGTGTGCAGCACAGAGAAGAATGTCATATGCTACTAGACACCCAATGCCACCAGCAGAAAAATTGTTAAATGAATGGACTTGGCAAAACTGAGAAACAAACCCTTTTTGAAGCCTGGATTAAAGCTACATCTGTGCTCTGTGCCTGGGAAACGAAATGAGACAAGTGCTACATCGGTAATAAAACTTTGAGTGAAGTGTATCCAGGAAATGAGAAGCGGCTTCTACACCTACATCTGGTCTAAACATCCTGGATTCCTCCTTAACAGTTACTCTTCTAATAGTAAATTTTAAGCAGATTTAAAAATTTCAGAAACATTTATGTGAACTTTTGGGAGGCAGGTATAGTTTCAGAAGTTCTTGTCAGTAATTTTTTTTATAGTTTTGGTAAAATGCTGAAAGTTTTAGGGACATTTCTGGAGGGGAGGAGAAAATTAACACTTCTGTACAATAATGTCAATAATAAACTTGCTTTTCTTACTTGCCTTTGGCATGGGTCAGGAGAGACTCACAGTTTGCTGTTTTTTGACTGATACTGAATTTTTCATTTCGGGAATGATGTGGGCAGTCAGGAAAAGAAGAATTGAATAAACTCTGTTCCAAAACAAAGCAAGTATTCCAATATAAACTATTTCTTGATGCTGGCAGAGCAATCCAAGTTCTTATGAACAGTTGCTTTTCACATTGAGAAGTACTCTATGAAGTTATCTTGGATATGTTGATTTAAAAAAAAAAAGAAAAAAGCTTCCCTCATCATATAAGCCTCACGAACTTCACCACTGGAACTTCCAGCAGGTACAAGTGAGATTCAGGGAATTCTCACAAGAGCAGAACTTAATTACCAGTTTCCCAGATGAAATTTTCATTATCATTAGGTGTTTGTGTAAACTCATGACAACTTCTCATTTTCCTCTAAAATTTATAGGAGTTGTTAAAGTACATACTTGTATTTTTGAAAAAATATAGTAAAGGAGTTTTCATCGTGGATAAAATTTTGGCCTGAAATACAACTCTTCTACAGAACCAATTTTTTTCACTATTAGAAAGACATAGAGGTGCTGAAGTGTGTCCAGAGAAGGGCAATGAATTTGGTGAATGGTCTGGAGTCCCATGAAGAACAGCTGAGGGGAGCTGGTGATGTTTAGCCTGGAGAAAAAGAAGTTCAGGAGTGACCTTTCTGCTCTCTACAGCTACCTGAACAGTACATGGCTGCAGCCATGTGTGGGTCAGGCTCTTCTCTCAGGTAGCCAGTGACTGGATGAGAGGACAAGGCCTCTAGTTGCACCAGGGCAGGTTTAGATTGGATATTGAAAAGAAATTCTTCATGGAAAGGGTTTTTAAGCATTGGAACAAGCTGTTCAGGGAAGTGTTTGAGTTACCATCTCTGCTGGTATCTAAAAGATGTGTGGATGTGGCATTTGGGGACGTAGTTCAGTAGTGAACTTGGCAATTTTTAAAATGTACTTCCTAAAATGAATACTCTATATTTTGTTTCAAGTATGCATATTCATCTCAGGTGGCTCTGCTTAGTAAGTAGAACACATATTGTGTCTAACTGAATATTTCATATAGTCTTGTTTTTGTTTAATTTTTTTCTGACAGCTATCAATTAATGTAATTTTCTCAGAACAGAAAAAGATGTAATAATGAACAGTTTTGGCAGATAAGTTGTTTCCTACTAGAAAATTACTGTGTATAACCTTGAAAAATTATGACCTTTACATAGATTCTTGTGCCCAAGAGGAAACACAAGTGAAATTATTTCAGTACATGAAGCTTAAGATTTGGCAAAAGCCTTGTGCTTTTTATGCATCAGTGAGACTAGTAAGCAAGTAATCATACAAACAAAGGCCGTAGATTATAAGGAAGCCACAAAACTGAATGTAGCCTAAAAATAAACTTGGAGTTCAGCATAGATAATATGCTTTAAATGAAGAATGCAATGTCAAGCAAAATTAAAAGGCAGGCAAGGTCTCAGGGACTACATGTGTTATTTGATGGAAAGAGGCCAGACTACTGACTACCAATTATATAGTGTTGTCAGTGTAAAATTCTGAAATATGCCAGATTTCCAGATTTCCAAATTTTGTTTTCAACTTCACTCAGCTCCCGCTTATTAGCTATTGGTAACTCGTGTCCTGCCCCATTCAACAAAGAGCACTCAACAGTGATCTTTTGAGGCAGGGAGAAGGCAGAGGAAGCCCCTTACTCCTGGCTGCCCTAATGGCTTTTAGGGCAATGCCAACTCTGCCATCCCTCTTGCAGAGGTCTCAGAGGAGCCTCTCTCCCTGCTGTGCTGCAGACCATGGGGCTGGTGCAGGTGGGAAAGGGCTGACAGTGAGTGAAAAAGGAGCCACTGCTGTTTGGGAACCCATTGCTGGGCCTGAGGACAGCCCGTGGGCTCAGGATTGGTCTTGAAGTGACAGCAGCAGGTACACAGGAAAATGACACATGAGCAAATGAAGTAGCCCTCTTTGCCTCTTCCTGAGAAAAGGTCAGTGGCAGCTGGGAGCTCAGGCAGCAGGTTAGTACAGAAAGGCATGACTCCCACTGTTACTATTCATTTTTTTTCTCTTCAGTCAGAGTCAGGATTAAAAGCACGAGAGATGGAATTTTGCATTCAGACTGTTGTTTATTCATTCTTATCTATGTTACAGTGAGTGCTACAGCACTTCTAGCTAACAAGCTAAAAATGAATAAATGTTGATGTATCTTGCTCACTACAAGGTCTTTTAAAGCCAAACAATCAAATTAAAAACTAACATCTATATTATTTTTGCTTTTGACCCAATGACCAAACACTTGGGACCTGCAGTGTGGCATTTTCTATCCAAATAAAAAGTGCCACCTAAACCCAAGAAGAGGAACAAGAAGGAGGAAAACCTCCACCCTAAAACCTTCCTCTTGTCCCATATCTATTACTATATTCTAAAACCCCAAATTCAAAATACACATCAATTATTCTAATTCTATCATTCAATTTTGGAAGCCTTCTCCAAGGCCTCAGGTCAAAAGCAGTGCTCTTTTGGGGGTCAGTGTGGGACAGCACAGAAAGTTCAAAACTCCTTGTTTCCAGGGTTCCAACATCCAGCCTCCTGTCTTTCCTGCTGGAGAGAGGCAGTTGCCTGCCTGTTCCTACAGTTCCTCTGAGGTTGAGTGTAAAATACACTCTTAGTGGAGTTTTAATGAAAAACAAAGTAAATCCCAACAATTCTTGCCAAATGTGTGAATATCCGTGGTAAATAACTGCTTGAGTTAATTTTGAACTGACTCGTGTAATATTTGTTTTGGTAGGCATCTCTGAAAATTCTGATGAAATAGTTTTGTGTTGTTAATTTATATATGATCTATATAAGGGATATATTTATGCTTAAAGAAGTTGCTCCTCTGGATTTAGTTGTTATCTAGGAAGTTATTTTTTGTTCTGTCTTATGACTTGTGTGTTTTTTATTAACTTAATCTCAAGATTCTCAAGAAGAATAATTATAAGGAAAAATAAATGCCTTTTGCAATTTTTTGTTTTATGTTACCTTTTTAATATTTCATAAAAAGGGTTTAATTTTGAGTTTTGCATGAACTTATTCCAGGAACTAAAAAATCTGCCTTCATTAGATTAATAACTTTTAATTTACTAAACTTTACAGTCTCTATTGCAAAATTAGACAAGTTGAATTCCATGTTAAGAATTTAAATATCGTTGTTCAGACCCCTTTAAATCATAAAGATCCAAAAGAAGAAACAAGTAAAAGTTCTTTTTTTTTTCTTCTCAATGGATTGGAAACTCTCATGATACGTAATGTCACCCTTCCCATCTTTTTCAGAATCTGCAAAAGCTAAAATATTATGGCTGTTTACAATGAAAACTAAATTTCCCATTACATCGTTTATCTTTAGAAATAGGGCTTTTGAGAAAAAAACCTACCATTATAGACCATGAAATGTCTGTAGATTTGGTCACCATGAGACACTTCCCATTATCATCTATTGAGATTTGATGATTGTGGACTCAGAAATATGGATGAATTAACACGATGGATTAACATTGCACTTCTGTACACTCATGACCACTGACTGCATTTGGTTTTAGTTCTGGAAATAGATGGTAAATCTGTGTGTGTATCTTAAGCAATTTTTCCCTGGATTTTACACCTAAGGCTGTCTTCTACTTTACATTTTACATGCGATGACAGTTCCTGTCCACTGATATGAACGGCTTAAATGATTTATAATAACTTGTTAAAATGAGGTAACTTATTATGAGCTTAAACCCAGTGATTGAAAAGTCATTGAAAAAGCGTTTTGGAATCATTATCCTATGCAGTATTGTTAGAGAAATGAAGATGAACTAGATCAAGAAATATTTGCGTCTCTCTGGTGGAGTTAGGTGAAAGTACACTTGCAAGAATGAATTAGGTTTTTTTTTCCTCCTCCTAGCCAGTTTGCTGTTTAGTACCATGGGCTCTTGGATTGCTTATCCTGTGTTTCCAGCTGTTGTTTGTAGCAAACATCTGGTCCTATCCTAAAGCAAAGTTACATCTCTTTATAACAACTGGACTGTGAACTGAATGTTATCAATGTTGAGCTTCCTCCTAGAGTTTTGTTATAGTGAAAAATAAATAACTCCTGAATGTAACTCTTCTGGAGCATCATAAATTAAATGTATTTGCTTTACTACAGTATGTCTCTCTGATTTGTAAAAATTATTACAATTTAATGGCTGTGAAGTATTTGTGGGCAAAAGTAAACAAGAACTGATCGTCTCTTCTCTTCTGCAGAAAATTACATCAGCAGTTTGAGATGTATAAGGAGCAAGTGAAGAAGATGGGTGAAGAATCACAGCAGCACCAGGAGCAGAAGGGTGATGCCCCAACCTGTGGCATCTGCCACAAAACAAAATTTGCTGATGGCTGTGGCCATAACTGTTCATATTGCCAAACTAAATTCTGCGCACGCTGCGGAGGAAGAGTGTCTCTGCGGTCAAATAAGGTATGGAGTTATGGGAGTTTAACAGCAGGCTTCTCCTGACCCAAGTATCTAATTCATTGCTTATGAACCTGAATCACATAACTACTGAAACAGATTTCCTCTAAGGAGACAATGATACCTGCTTCAGGGACTTTTAAGATATCTGTCCTTGCTTCCTGTAATTGCCAATTGCATATGAATTTGTGATTATCGCTTTTAAGTTAATGCATGACATTTTTTTGACTAACAAACTCATGCAAGTATATTTCTTTGATTGGAGAATGAGTCTCTATTTGAGAAACAGGAGTACATCTAGTGATCTAGTGATGCTAATATCGAGACATTGATTATTACAAAGTAGAGCAAGGACTTGTTTCTTTCCTGCTTGCCTAGGTTCCTCTGTACACTATTATTGTAAAATTAGTGTTAGAACATTATCCATGAAATATTAACGTGCTTTAAAATACTTATCTATTATACATATCCACACATATGCATATTTATATGTGCATACATATGCATATTTATATGTGCATACATGTGCAAATGTTAACCTATTTCTGGAAAATAATTAGATGCACTTACATAGATTGTTCTGTATATGCTGTTTATTGTATAAGAAGTGGTAAACCAGCAATCTGAATTCTTAAAAAAGCCGAATGATAGGGCAAAAAATTCAACACAACTCATGTAATCACAGAAAACTCTTCTGAGATCATTTTACTTAATATTTTAGATAAAATGTTCAGATCTGATACACAGAATGTTTCTCAGATTCTGACCAATACTTGTAGAAGATACATGGCAATATTCAAGAAGTATTATGCTAGTCTTTTGTGGAAATGTGTATTTTGTAAAAAATACAATATTTTAATGTTTATTCATGTAATTTCTCTAATATAATTTATTTCCATAAGTCATTTTTTTCAGTAATGTGCTCATTGCATATACCATGCAATTGGTAAATATCTATTGTAAGGTAGGAGACAAGAGTATGCATGTTATGTATTTATTTGCCTAATATTGAAAAGTAGGTTTAAATAATGGAATGAAGTATTTGATTAACTGAGGATAGAATAATAAAAAATATAAAAATGTAATAATAGTTCCTGATGATTAAAGTAACTGAGATTATGTGTAAATGTCTCAAAGTGCCATGGTTTTCATTAAAGTAACTTTAAAATGTTGCCTACAGTAGGTTTACATATTTTATTTGGGTTTTTTTATAACTGAGTCATGTTGCTAGCAATAAGAGAGATAATAATTTCTGTATTAATTTCATCTGGTTAGAAAAGCCAATTAGGAGAGATATTTGAGTCATTATGCCTGCAAACATAGCATTAGGAAGAATGCTTCATTTCCTAATGAAACATTCTGATACACCATTTAGATTCTTCTTGAGATGGATCATCTGAACTTGACAGATATGTCTGACTTCTCTTGACAAATTTCCAATGATTTTTCCATTGAGTCTTAGGTAATTCCACTGCTTCACCGTGCTCAGCACAGATAGCTTTTCTTACTGTCTAGCCAAAATCTGTCTTTCAGTAATTCAAATTCTCCATTCAGTCTGAGACTGTTCTGCAACATTTCTCAGCTGGCATTTTTTTTCCTATTGCTTTTGCTAATTTAGTGCGAGGCTTTCCTGCACTCAATTCACTTCTATTCTAGATAATTTATGAATATTTTGAGCACAGTATTTCTAGACTGATTTTCTGTGAGTCTTTGCTGGTGAAAACTTTTGTTTAAAAAAAACCTGACCATTTATTCCTGTTTTTTCTTGTTGTCCTTTCATTAATTAAATTTTCTCATGGATGAATTTATTCCTATTCTATGGCAGCTGAGATTCTTTAGAAGTCTGTAATCCCAACTGAGCAGTAGGAATAAATCCCATTTTTCTCACTTTCTCTGTGACTACTTGAAGGAATTCTAATACATGCAGTACATATGAATTCCCTCTGCTAAAACCGTTTTGACTTCTCCACATTTTATCATAATTTATTCATATGCTTGCTAATTTTATTGTGCACTTGAGTTTCTAAAAATCTCTCCAATGTGGATGTCAGACTTATATGTCTATTCTTCAATTTATATAATGTTGACATTCCTTAAAAATATCTTGGTGTTTTTTGCCAACTTTTATCTTTCTTATCAATGAAAGTCTGTATTGCAGTTAATAATTATTTTAGACTGGAGGTGCTTTACACTAGCTAAGATTTAATTTAAAAATTTTGTTATTTTTTTGTTGCCTCACTTTAAAGCTTCTCTTTCTGAAATATCAGTTCAGAGTATTTCCTCCATTTTATTTTGCATAAAATAATATTCTAGAGTGAATACCTCCTAATCATTGTGAATAGGAACAAAAAGGATCTAACTCAGACTGTAACAGTCTCCTATTTATGCCCTGCTTTATGCCTTCACTGATTATTCTATTAAAGCTATTTTGGTCTTCCAAAATTCATCCTTATCTCTCTTCTTTTCTGAATACAACTTCACTTTCTTGAAGGATGACTTCTAATAACTTCCTATTTTAAATTTGCCTTTTTTAGTCTTTGTAGACACTTTGACACATTATGTATATATGTGTTTGCTCTGGACCTTATATAAGGTGATAGATACTTACACTGTCTGAAGTGTTCCTTGGTGGATCTGAGATCTTCATAACATCAAGTTTCAAGCTAAACTCCTGCCTTTTACTCCAGATTCTGCTCCTGAATTGTTTATTACAGACAGTAGTAGGAGCATGCATCACAGATGATGGAGAATTGTAAAGAATACTCCTCTTTCAAAGGTCTCAAGGCTGACTACTGCTTACAAGGTTCATGGCCACGAGTAGGAGCAGGGAGTGGAAATATTTTGACTGTTGTCAGAGCATTAGATTAGGATTGTCAAAATGTTTGGATGATTTATTCCTTTTTCAGTTTCATTAAAGTGCCTTAAATATATGGGCCTTAGCATTCAGTTCAAGCTGTACAAAAATTATCATTATGTGGGAGTTCCTTCTAGCTCAAACAAATAAAAATGATAATGGTGGCACTTTTGCTTCTGTACAACTTACTATCTTGGTGAATGGTGTATTTAGCTAAATGGGGGCTTAAATTTCAAGGGAGTAAAAAACCTTGAATAGTCATATTTTGTTTATGAACAGTTGCAGATTTATTAAAACTGAAATAATCATGTGAGAGCAAGCAGGAATTGTTCTTAGTAATAGGAGTACATGTACATATAAAATATACTCCTTTTTTTATTATATATTAATTTATATAGGGAAATGCACATTGAATGAGTCAGTAGACAGCAGAATGAGGTTTATACAAGTGAGAAATCTAAATGCTAAAATGTTGGAAAAATACAGACTCCAGATTGATACAATATTGTGTACAGTGAATATAAGTTTTAGCACCTCAGAATGCCTCAGTTGACTAAGCCAACCTTTCAGTTGTACAGAAAGGAAAAAAGGCTTGTCTGAAAAGTTAACTTAATGCATGCTGAATACCTTCTTTCAGGGTATTTGCCAACTTATTATCACTTGGAGCCACTGAAACATCCTTCATTCTTTGACTTTGAAAAACAAAAGTAAGATCTTCAGTTGTTTTATAGGACCAACAACAAAGCAGGAAACATGTAAGGTGTGAGTAGGGAGCTTCTCTCAGTTCCCCTGGTTCAGTGCAAGCTTTGCATTCTGATTATTTCCCCGAGGCTGTTTGGCTTTCATAAACCCATCAAGTTCACTTTACTGAATGAGTCTAACTGCAAGACTTGTAATGTGATCATCTGTATGGAGCTGCAGCACAAAATTGTAGCATACTAGTGGTCATGCATAATCCATTTCATTCTGTAGAGAGGTAACAAGCATTGAAGAATTAGTCTGTCACAATCAGGTTTTCTAAGTCACTAGTATTTGGAATAAAGTCCGTGATTTGTTACTGTATACAAGTAAGTTGGTCATTAGGAGATGTGGTTTGTCTTTGCATTTTTCTACAAAAGACATAACACTGCAAACATGAGCAAAGGATTCCCTCTAAACACTCTGTGTCTTCTTTTCTGTTTAATCCATGTAACACCTGTAAAAACTGATAACCTGCTACTGTATTCATTTCTCTGGAGAACAAATATCTCTGAAAAAAACAAAGTCGGGGTAAATTATTCTACATCATTCCAGTTCTGAATAAGAAGTTGTAAATTCATAATTGGAGGGTGTAAAAGTTATGCTTCTCATTAGGATGAATTTCACATCTCAGTTTCCCCATGGATAGAATATAATTTTTATTATCAGATATGCTGAAGACTTCCACTCTTAAATCTGGTCTTGATTATATCAGAACAATGTTGATGCCATAGGAACGTCTTTGATAGTTAAGACATCTCTAAATGATGATCATTTAGAAATGATCAAACACCCCCATTTTATTTGAGGTGATCAACCTCTTTATTCTTTTTAAAGTTATACCCAAACTTATCAGGACTACAGTTCAGCTAGTGTACTTCATGGTCCTTAGTAGCTTTCCCCTCTGCTTTCCTGGTGGAGTTTGGCTTCTTTGATGTGGCACAGCTGTAACCTGGATCAGCCTTGGGGAAGGAGCTGTGTGAGGATGGCTTCCTTCCCTTGGGAGCACCAGTCCTTTGTGTGGGAGCTGTTCAGTGCTCAGCCTTGGTCCCTGCCTCAGCCTGGATGTTCCCTCACTGAGCCGGATCCAGGCTCAGCTTCCTGGAGTGCCTTGGCTCTGCCTCATCACCATGGACCTTGCTGGGGACCTGGATTCTTTGTTGACTCTGGGCCCTATCCTTGGGTTCCCCTTAGGCACTGTGGGACACAGGTGGGAGCATGTCCTGCCTCATGCCACCCTTTCTGCCTCCTCCTGGCCCTGGCCAAGCTGCTGACCCTGCTTCTGCTGGGACAGGATAGCAGTAGTGCTGTCCCAGCAAAACACTTCTTCAAATTGCTGCATTTAATGCTAAGAGTAAAAATACTTGCACAACTACCATTTTGAACCAGGAGATTTTGCCCCTTTCCAGTCTGT